CCAGAACTCTGAAGTCTCTACCAAGTACTTAGCAGATTAGCAGCTCCCTTTAAAGGAAAATAATTACCTTCCTCGCTGGCACACGGCTGGAAGAGGGGACAGTCCTCTGGTGGGGAAGAATGCAAATCAGGTTCTTGGGACTGAAAAGCCTGGCTCAGCTCTGCCTCCTCCTGTTCTTGTAGCCGAAACCCACGGAACGCCCACCAATTAACACCGCAGAGGTCTGGTGCTTTGGGCAGACAGCTCAACCATAAACTGATTAGGATCCAACTCGTGCCAAAGACTCATTTCAGGCATCTGACTGCAGAGAGAGGTGGCCTGCTGTGTAGATCAACCAACCCTTCCTCCAGAGCCTCTCGTTTTAGCCATATACCAAATTGGGTCAACACAAAGCAACGTTTGTCCTCCATAGTAACAGCTTCTTACAGAAACTCCTTCACACACTTAAGATTTACGCCCTCAGCTTTTATAGAGTGGATATGAGAAACATCCATTTAAACAATCACTCAGAGCCTTTCATAAAGGAACAGTTGAAAGCACTGTCCATTATGTTCTCCGATGCCCTTCCATAAAAAAAAGCACATGATAAATTCAGTGCCAACAGAAAGTTTGGCTCTCTCTGTTTTCCTTCATCAGAGGTGAACTGTACAATCACATTTCTTCCTGCCCCAACTCTTCAAAACTTCAGAAACAAATTCACCACTCAAGTGGAGCTAACTAATGGATCCCAACCACCTTGCGATATCTATTCTTTGATTTGTTTCTCACCCCTTTTGATCTTGGTTTTATTTTTATATCTCCTGCTTTAAATCGGGCTTCATTTTGCAAGCCAACTTAAATCTTTTTTCTCTCCTTCAAAAGTAGGACACAAATCCTAAGTAAAGGAGGCTTTTTCTTACCCTCTACAAAACCATCACAGCCCTCCCAGCTGCTTCAAGTGCTCTTGGACTCACCAGACCCATGCATCTCTGTCTGGTTAACACAATGGAACGTACGAGATGAGAAGACCCCAATCAGCTTCGACTCCCTCCTCTGCTCAGTGCACTAACCCCAAGCCATCAGGACAAGAACGGCCCAGCTTTTTACAGTTTCAGGGGTAAAGCGGATTCCAAGAGCCCAGAATGTTTCTACATAAGATAATAATACTTGGGGGAGCCCGGGTGGCTCAGCCAGTCAGGCGTCTGACTTTGGCTCAGGTCGTGATCTCGTGGTTCATGAGTTCGAACCCCAGGTCAGGCTCTGTCCTGATAGCTTGGAGCCTGGAGCCTGCTTCGGATTTTGTATCTCCCTCTCTCTCTGCCTCTCCCTTGCTCACACTCTTTCTCTCTCAAAAATAAACATTAAAAAAAAAAAAGATGACAATACTTGGAACAGACTTGACTCTGCGACATAATTCTCTATAAGCCATTCTAAATGTTTCTTTTGAAATAAAAGAAACAAGCACTCACCATTTGGTAGATTCTATTTTCCACACATGTCTGCAGTTATGTTTCCAAGCCTACATGCCCTTTTGGAATATGACCTTGCTCCTCTCTCATTAAGAAATGGGGTCCCTGGGGCGCCTGGGTGGCACAGTCGGTTAAGCGTCCGACTTCAGCCAGGTCACGATCTCGCGGTCCGTGAGTTCGAGCCCCGCCTCGGGCTCTGGGCTGATGGCTCAGAGCCTGGAGCCTGTTTCCGATTCTGTGTCTCCCTCTCTCTCTGCCCCTCGCCCGTTCATGCTCTGTCTCTCTCTGTCCCAAAAATAAATAAACGTTGAAAAAAAAAAATTTAAAAAAAAGATTA